TCGATGAAATAAGCATTGGGGCGGACTCCTCTAGCTGGCCGAGGCAGCCAGTGTGAGTGAATCCTAAGCAATACTTGGAAAAAATACAAAAAAACTTCTTTCACTATCGTTTTTCTTCAGTCACACTATTCTCGTTCCCTTGTTTGATTTTAATTCCCGCATATTTGTATCCTGGTAGATGCGCTGTACTTTGGAGCAGAGTGGAATATACACATATACCAAAATTGATCTTGTTTTTCATAAGCCAGGGATTTAATATTTGTTTGAAATCGCCTGGCATCAGCTCCTCTCAAAGCCTACTTAAGGCTTCTTTAAGTATGTTTTTGTTGTCAGTAAGACATATTTAATTCGAACAAAAAAAAAACTTTCACCGGCTGGAAGTTTATGTAATACTTTGTTATAATTATTTTCTATATTATCCCTTCATTCTTATCAGTGTTATTATTATTATTTGTATTTATATCATTTGATTATTGGGTGCTAACACTCTTTATTTCCTATTTTAAAGATATCTTAATAATCTCTCTCAACATCCCTACTGTTCTGTTTCTCTTTATATTAAGAGGTAATTATAATTTTTGTCTTCGAGTAAGTTGGGAGATAAAGATCACTGAAATCTGAAATTAATGTTGCAATTGTCTTAATTTAATAATGCAAAGATAATTGCTCGCTGCAAAGATAATTTACAGCGAGCAAATGTGCAGTGTAGGTTGACGGCTCCTCCACCGTGTGGAGCTGCAACACCTCGCCCTCCAAAAAATAATAGTTCAATAATACTTACCTCGCCTTATGGCAATAAGAATGGAGACCATTACAAGGGGGGAAATTTAAATACGTGAGCGGATCATTAATAGCCCTGCAGAAATCTAAGTACATCCCGCTAATCCCGTGATAACAAATTAGCTTCCGTGTGCGTAATGGCAGCATTAACTGGAAGGGGGGGGAAAAAATTGTAATGCAGCTCACAGAACTCTAAACTACAATATTACATCCTCCCCTAATTCCTGCAACAAGTCTACGAACACAGGTAACAAATACAGGCTGCGGAAACACCTTAAAACTGCACTGCTGCTGACCTCTCTCTCCTCTCTTTGCCTGCCCATCGTCACCTTTCATTAGAAAGCCCCCCAAGAAAGCCGAGGAATAACAAAGAGAATGTTGACCAGACCACACACTAGAAGGTGAAGGGACCACGACGTTTCGGTCCGTCCTGGACCATTCTCAAGTCGAAACAGAGAGAGAGCGGGAAGGATGACATAGGAGGAGGGATCACCTCCAAGCTTTTTCCGTGGTAAACGGGGAAGATGACTTTCAAGAATATATCTACGGGGAAGATGACTTTCAAGAATATATCTTCTCCGTTTGGCGTTGTTTTTCCCTTTGGCGAATCCTTCTTCCAGCTCCGGACGCGCACGGACTCAAGAACACGGAAAATCAAGGCACCGACTCAGCTTTTATTGGAGCAGTTGAGTCTCTAAACTTTAAGACTATTATTCTGATGTGCAAAACAAACTTTAGTTTATATTCAAATTCTCGACTTGCAATGAAGACATCACATCTGATGATGAAGCTTGCTAGGTCCAACTCTTTGTCATTTCTGTAGAAAAAAAATCCGTAATTTTACCCCCTCCCCCACCATCACATAAATGGAGTTTTTTTCCCTAGGCCCTGTAATATACTTGCTATTACTGAGAAATTTAATTTGAAAATATGTTCTCGTTACCTTCTGCAACAAAATAGGAAATCTGCATAATTCTTGCAAGCACTCCTCACCACGTTGCAAACACCAGTCTGCAGGTAAGATAATCCCTCCAAAGAAATAAAATAATTTTCTGTTCAACAGTATTGCATATTTTAGTTCAACGAGGGGGAAAAAAATGCGACAGGAGATGGAATAAGGCATAGTAAAAGAGAGAAGACAAGGCTGATTAATACACACAGAAATCACAACAGCGTTATATATCAAATGAAAAAAATCCGCAAGGGGCCGTGATGAGGGTTCGAACCTACGCACGGGATCTTCTCAGCTGCGCCTTAGGATTTGCCCATCATAGCCCTTGTGGATTTGTTCATTTGATATATCACGCTATTGTGATTTCTGTGTATATTGAAGGGTGTAGAGGTAGACCACTTGGTTGACAGAGCCCGGGTGCATGGGGGGAATTGTGTGAAAACCCGATTGAACTTCGGGATCCTAGTGAGGGCAGTAGCGCTCCAGGTTGCAATTCTTTTAACCATGTCGTGGCGCAGTTGACTAAGGCGCAGCTGGGAACATCCCGTGCGTAGATTCGAACCCTCCTCACGGCCCTTGTAGATTTTTTCAAGTCTGATTAACTTACGGTTCAACAGCTGTTGGGCTCAGAATGCCAATTACTGTGTTCAAAATCACGAAAAAATACTGGGGGCCACACAAGGGATCGAACTCGCGTCCCTGGACTCTCCAGGCCTCAAAATTTCCTTATAGATATATGGTGTTCTTGTGCACACTACACTACACTTTAACCCTTTTAACCCTGCTGTAGCTTAGTCGATTAAGGCAGTGTCTGGGATGCTCCCGGACGCAGGTTCGAATCCTCGTCACGGCCCTTGTGGATTTGTTCATGGTGTTCTTGTGATTTCATTGTGTTACATCCTTACATCTCAAGGAAGACTTGACGCACCTCGGCTACACAGTATACCATCTTGCGGTTGTCTTATTACTACCTTTGCAATGATCTTAATTAATTCATTTGCAGTTACCTTAATTAATCCATTTGCAGTTACCTTAATTAATCCCTTTGCAGTTACCTTAATTAATCCCTTTGCAGTTACCTTAATTAATCCCTTTGCAGTTACCTTAATTAATTCATTTGCAGTTACCTTAATTAATCCATTTGCAGTTACCTTAATTAATCCCTTTGCAGTTACCTTAATTAATCCCTTTGCAGTTACCTTAATTAATCCCTTTGCAGTTACCTTAATTAATCCCTTTGCAGTTACCTTAATTAATCCCTTTGCAGTTACCTTAATTAATCCCTTTGCAGTTACCTTAATTAATCCCTTTTGCAGTTACCTTAATTAATCCCTTTGCAGTTACCTTAATTAATCCCTTTGCAGTTACCTTAATTAATCCCTTTGCAGTTACCTTAATTAATCCCTTTGCAGTTACCTTAATTAATCCCTTTGCAGTTACCTTAATTAATCCCTTTGCAGTTACCTTAATTAATCCCTTTGCAGTTACCTTAATTAATAACTTTGCATTGTGAACTAGAGTTCAGTTCATTAATTCACTCTTCAATTTATTAAATAACCCCCCCCCCCATTCTTCTGCTAAATTCATTAAATAATGAGTCTTAAAAGATCATATATGCAAAGGTCTCCATCAATTATCAGAGGCTAGATCAGGTAGTCATGCAATTAAGCTACAAAGATTTCATGTAGAACTGTTATAAAAAGAATATATTAAGTGTTCAAACATTGTTTCTTAATAATTCAGAGTAAGTAGGTGTTTCATTTCGAAATAATATTTGAACAATTATTATGTCTCATTTAGGAATATTTGAACTTGAAGAATAGTTTTACTTGAAGAATATCTTCACTTGAATATTATCCCTTAAAGGATATGACAGACCAAACCACACACCAGAAAATGACAAGACGACGACGTTTCAGTCCGTCCTGGACCCATTATCAAGTCGATGGTGAATCGACTTGAAGTCGATTGTGAATTGAAGGATATTTTCAATTAAGGAATATTTTCAACAAAGGAATATTTTCAATTAAGGAATATTTTCAACAAAGGAATATTTTCAACTAAGGAATATTTTCAATTAAGGAATATTTTCAATTAAGGAATATTTTCAACAAAGGAATATTTTCAATTAAGGGATATTTTCAACAAATGAATATTTTCAATTAAGAAATATTATCCCTTGAAAATATTCAATTGCAAAATACTTCCACTTGAAGAACTGTATAACACCCAAGAGGTTGCCAAAGGCAGCAGCGAAGGCCCCCTTTGCGAATTTCACAGCAGCAGTGAAATTCGCAAAAGGAGGAGTACACGGTCCAGCTGTGTACTTCACGTCAACACCGGACGCAAGTGTTCCGTTGTATATTGTCGCATAAAACGGCGGGGGTGTTGACAGAGCCTCCTAAACGACGGCCTGGATTCATTTGCCAGACATTATTAAGATTACGGCCGCTGCCAAGAAAGATGGAAGGTGCTGGGACACACGGAAGGCCAGGAAGGAGGGAGGGAGCCGCGCCGGTTATAGCTCTCTCTTTCGGTTGATTTATGGAACGAATTGCCGGAGAACGGAACGGACGTGCGTGAGCGCTGGGTGGTTTCAAGCGTAGGTTAGACCTTTATATATATGTGACAGCGCTGGATTGTTTCAAGCGGAGGTTAGACCTATATATGTGACAGCACTGGATTGTTTCAAGCGTTGGTTAGACATATATATGTGACAGTACTGGATTGTTTCAAGCGGAGGTTAGACATATATATGTGACAGTGCTGGATTGTTTCAAGCGTTGGTTAGGCATATATGTGAGCTCGATGAACCGTTTTAAGCATAGGTTAGACATAAGAAAAAAATTAGAGAAATAATATATATATATATATATATATATATATATATATATATATATATATATATATATATATATATATATATAGTTTGGTTGACTACAAATAGGAGCAGCCTCGTATGGGCCAAAACACCTTCCTGTACTTCCCTTTAACATTAAGTTCTCATAATCTTAGCAAAAGTGGTGATATAAATCAAAAATCTTAGTACACAACTGATGATCTTCTGCTCCAACTGAATGTTCAAGTCAGCCCCATGAACGAAAAGTCTTGTAGTTCAATCTTTAGTAACTTTTATTTAACTGACTAGACGCCTAAGAGCAGTGAAATTCTTGCTTGCGTGGAGAGATAAACTCGGATCTTTATCACCAAGAAGATTAGAGATCTAATTTTTAAGTCAAATTATTAACACAGCGCTAATGGTTAGTTCTTAGAACGTTCCAGTGCCGAGAGCAGGTATCACAGCATCACTCAGCTCAGGTATCACAGCATCACTCAGCTCAGGTATCACAGCAACACTCAGCTCAGGTATCACAGCAACACTCAGCTCAGGTATCACAGCATCACTCAGCTCAGAAATCACAGCAACACTCAGCTCAGGAATCACAGCATCACTCAGCTCCGTAATCACAACCGCACTCAGCTCCGTAATCACAACCGCACTCAGCTCCGTAATCACAACCGCATTCAGCTCCGTAATCACAACCGCACTCAGCTCCGTAATCACAACCGCACTCAGCTCAGGAATCACAGCCGCACTCAGCTCAGGTATCACAGCATCACTCAGCTCAGGAATCACAGCCGCACTCAGCTCAGGTATCACAGCATCACTCAGCTCAGGAATCACAGCCGCACTCAGCTCAGGTATCACAGCATCACTCAGCTCAGGAATCACAGCCGCACTCAGCTCAGGTATCACAGCATCACTCAGCTCAGGAATCACAGCCGCACTCAGCATCACTCAGGAATGACAGCGGGGTGGAGAGAGGGGGGGGAAAAAACACCTTAATTCCTTAGCCAGGACAGCTAGGAATGCACCCTTGGACACGGGAGGCACCGACCCACCTGATCTTTATGAGGTGCACACACACACACACACACACACACACACACACACACTAAAAAGGTGACACCCCTAGGGTCAACACTTGCAGCAGAGGAGCTCCAGCATATTTCAACAATCCTAAGTATTGTAGTACAGGTTGATGGTAGTGAGTGGTGTCCCAGAGAACATAAAGGTATAGTGCTCTTGAAAAATAGGTGAGATAACAGGAAAGTGCTAAGGGAAGTGAAAAATCGGATGAGAAAAAGTTGCCCTAGTGTTTACAGTGCAGAGAAGAACATTCAAGATGGCCACTGGCAAGGGGAAAAACAAAACAGAGCTTGATTTTGAGGGATTCAATGAAGAAAGCATTGATATTAGTAGTCTACATAACAAGTTGGTAAATTTAGATACTATAGTGAACTCTCATGTAGAAATAATTAGTAAATTGAAAGAAAGTAATGACCATTTGAATAGCAAAGTTTTATGTCTTGAGGGTTTAGTGAAAGACTTGCGCAAGGATAAGAATCAATTGGAAACAAATTGCAAAGCCATGGAAGAAGAAAATAAACTCTTAAAAATAGCTTTGGAAGAAGTTAAAGTAAATTTAAACATAAATGACTACAATAGGTTAGGCAAGGAAATTCAACAGGAGAAACAGCTTTTGTCAGCACAGATGGAGGAAGTTACACAGGGAATAGAACAGTGCAAGAAAGATATGCAACTCACTTATGCACAAGTGGCCAAGGAGAAGGAAAAAATAGAAGAAGCAGTAAAGGAAGTCAAACACTGCAGCAACCAAGATAAAACAAACATTAGGCTAGAAGTGAGGAAAGAATTGGCATCTAACCCGAAGTTGGTGCAAAACACAGTTGATCGGAGTAAGTCCCTGATCATTTTTGGCTGCAAAGAAAAGGCGATAACATCTAGGTCAGAAAGAGCTGTAGAAGAAGCTAAAGTAGTAGATAAAATTGTTGGCCTCGTGGAAGGTCTTACAAACAGAGAGAATGTGTGCGACTACAGGAGAATAGGCAGGTACGTAAAAGGGAAAGATCGACCTTTGAGGATCACCCTAAACGGTGCCAAACAGATGGAAGAAGTACTAAGGAATGCTAGAAAATTGCAAAGGGATGAGGATGGGAAAGGGTGGTCGTTAAGACGAGATCTTTCAAAAGAAGATAGAGAGAAGCTGAAACTGAACCTCGCCGAGGCAAAACATTTAAATGAGAGCAGGAATGAAGAAGAAATAAATTCTTTTTTCTACAAAGTGATAGGGGTAGGCAAACCAGTAAAGTGGTACATAAAGGCAAACCAACAAAATCAATAGAGAGAGGGGGAGTGAAGAATAAGGAGAGGGGGAACAAGTTCCTGAAGATTGCATACACCAACATAGATGGAGTGAGATCGAAGATACTGGAGTTAAGTGATGTAATACAGCTGCAGACACCAGACATTGTTGCACTCACGGAGACAAAACTTGAAGATGTAATTTTAAATGAGGTCATATTCCCAAGGGGCTACTCAATTTGGAGACGGGACAGAAAAATTAGGAAAGGCGGTGGCGTTGCTGTGCTGGTAAAAGAACACCTAAAGGTGAAGGAAATAATGACTGCCAATCCACAAGAAGTTGACATAATAGCACTAGAGATCTGCTATGAGGATGATAAACTAATGATGATAAATGCATATAGTCCACCGCCAAGCAGCACATGGTCAAAGGAGGAGCTAGATAGTAAACGTGAAGGTCTTATAACAATAATGAGAGAGATTATAGCGAGAGCGGATAACGATAGATCACGACTGTTGATAGTCGGTGACTTCAACTTGAAATCCATAGACTGGGAAGCATATGAAGCTAAAACAGAAGATTTTTGGACCTGTAAATTTGTAGACCTCATCCTGGAAACATTCTTGTATCAACATGTTAAACAAGCTACGAGGATGAGGGAAGGGGACGTTCCCTCCATGCTAGATTTGATATTTACCAGGAAGGAGGAAGAGATATTTGACATTCAGTACCTTCCTCCCTTGGGTAAAAGTGACCATGTCTTTTTGGGAATAAAGTATGCAATGCGTTATAAGCTGGAAGAAAATAAGGAGGTTGAAGCAGTTGAAAAACCAGACTTCAGGAGAGGACATTATGGTGACCTTAGAAATTTTTTTAGTGAGTATAATTGGACAGACTTGATGCTAGGCAAGGAAGTGAATGAGATGTATGGCAAGTTTTGTGAAATATATGATAAAGGCACAAAAAAATTTATACCAAAACAGAGATGCAGAACTAGGAAACAGGATTGGTTCAATAGAAATTGCGAGAGGGCTAGAGACCGAAAGACACAAAAATGGAATCAATACAGGAAGAGGCCGAACCCCCAAACATACCAGCGATACAAAGATGCGAGAAACAACTACACGGCAGTGAGGAGAGAGGCAGAAAGAAATTTTGAAAAAGGGATTGCGGACAAATGTAAAACAGAACCAGGTCTATTCTATAAATTCATAAACAACAAATTGCAGGTAAAGGATAATATTCAGAGGTTGAAAATGGGAAATAGATTCACGGAAGATGAAAAGGAAATGTGTGAAACACTAAACGAAAAGTTCCAAAGTGTGTTTGTACAAAATGAAATCTTTAGGGAACCAGATACAATAAGAATTCCAGAGAACAACATAGAACACATAGAGGTGTCTAGAGACGAAGTGGAAAAAATGCTCAAGGAGCTCGGTAAGAACAAAGCAGCTGGCCCAGATGGCGTTTCACCATGGGTTCTGAGAGAATGTGCATCTGAGCTCAGCATTCCACTTCACCTGATCTTTCAGGCATCCCTGTGTACAGGAATCGTAGCAGACGGGTGGAAACAGGCTAACATAGTTCCAATCTACAAAAGTGGCAGCAGGGAAGACCCCCTCAATTATAGACCTGTATCATTGACAAGTGTAATAGTGAAAGTATTGGAAAAACTAATCAAAACTAAATGGGTAGAACACCTAGAGAGAAATGATATAATATCAGACAGACAGTATGGTTTTCGATCTGGAAGATCCTGTGTATCGAATTTACTCAGTTTCTATGATCGAGCCACAGAGATATTACAGGAAAGAGATGGTTGGGTTGACTGCATCTATCTGGACCTAAAAAAGGCTTTCGACAGAGTTCCACATAAGAGGTTGTTCTGGAAACTGGAAAATATTGGAGGGGTGACAGGTAAGCTTCTATCATGGATGAAAAATTTTCTGACTGATAGAAAAATGAGGGCAGTAATCAGAGGCAATGTATCAGAATGGAGAAATGTCACAAGTGGAGTACCACAGGGTTCAGTTCTTGCACCAGTGATGTTTATTGTGTACATAAATGATCTACCAGTTGGTATACAGAATTATATGAACATGTTTGCTGATGATGCTAAGATAATAGGAAGGATAAGAAATTTAGATGACTGTCATGCCCTTCAAGAAGACCTGGACAAAATAAGTATATGGAGCACCACTTGGCAAATGGAATTTAATGTTAATAAATGTCATGTTATGGAATGTGGAATAGGAGAACATAGACCCCACACAACCTATATATTATGTGAGAAATCTTTAAAGAATTCTGATAAAGAAAGAGATCTAGGAGTGGTTCTAGATAGAAAACTATCACCTGAGGACCACATAAAGAATATTGTGCAAGGAGCCTATGCTATGCTTTCTAACTTCAGAATTGCATTTAAATACATGGATGGCGATATACTAAAGAAATTGTTCATGACTTTTGTTAGGCCAAAGCTAGAATATGCAGCTGTTGTGTGGTGCCCATATCTTAAGAAGCACATCAACAAACTGGAAAAGGTGCAAAGACATGCTACTAAGTGGCTCCCAGAACTGAAGGGCAAGAGCTACGAGGAGAGGTTAGAAGCATTAAATATGCCAAAACTAGAAGACAGAAGAAAAAGAGGTGATATGATCACTACATACAAAATAGTTACAGGAATTGATAAAATCGACAGGGAAGACTTCCTGAGACCTGGAATTTCAAGAACAAGAGGTCATAGATTTAAACTAGCTAAACACAGATGCCGAAGAAATATAAGAAAATTCACCTTCGCAAATAGAGTGGTAGACGGTTGGAACAAGTTAAGTGAGAAGGTGGTGGAGGCCAAGACCGTCAGTAGTTTCAAAGCGTTATATGACAAAGAGTGCTGGGAAGACGGGACACCACGAGCGTAGCTCTCATCCTGTAACTACACTTAGGTAATTACAGACTACAAAATACAACACTTGACACCAAATACATTTACGCCAATAAAACATTTAAAACATTCACAGTCTCCCTGTACACCTACAGTCTGACTGTTAAGCCAAACGCATCTCCAGCCACCAACAGGAGAGTGGACAGCCACGCCATTACCGACTGATAAAGGCTTCACTAATACCTTTCTCTCCCCCCCCCTGCCACCCATTCCTCTCTCTCCCTCCCACTTTCTCTCCCTCTCTCTCTCAACACCATCATCCATAACCAACCAGATGCTGGTATGATCACTTGAAACCATCACTGCTATAGAAGGTCCTTTCCAATGGCATTGTGACGTCAAATCAAACGATAGCAGAATCAACACGGTGTGTGTCTCTCTATCGACAGGTTATGTCTCATTCTATCGCATTGTGCCATGTATAATGAGGCATATATAATTATAATGAGACGGCCCCGGGCCTGGCGGATAATGACCTCATTCTGCCTCATTATAGATACGCTCTATCATGCGTGGGAGTATCTCAACTCGGGCGATCCGGATATCGTGAGGGATATTTTCTAACATCTTACAGAAACATGTCAATTAAATAAACGATGTAAACAAAACATGTAAACAGAGTAAACAATGTAAACAAAACAAGTAAACAACACAGAAAGTTGAGGAAAACTTCAGTTATTTTTT